CCAACTGGAATCCTAATGCCAATTGTAAGTACCATCAAGGTAGGGGCCATACTACCGAGAGTTGTTGGAAACTAAAGGAGGCCATCCAATATTTGATTGATAATAACAAGCTTCCCATTCCTTCAGTCGGCAAGAAGACCGAGTGATGATAAGCACAAAGCACGAGGCGGGCTTCAATGACAAGATTTCATGATTCCTTTCTTATTTTTGATTTACCATTCCCCAATAAGTCTAGCATAGGCACCCTTCATCTTCTTTAAATTTATTTCATAAGTTTGATTTTTTTTTCCCCTCTCCATTGTCAATAAAATGAGCATTTTATTTATTTGCCTATGAACATTGCATTGCATTTCAAAAAAAATCCACGACGAGCTAAGCACAAGGTATACCAATGATTTAAGGCACCCTTTTTAGCCACATCATATCACCTTTACCCCTTTCGAATATACAATCCTTTCTTGATAAAACACTCTAAGCCTCGTCTAACGATTGACCTTTCTTTTTTCAACCCTCATCTACCTAACCTTGGGATGGGACGGTGTGCAACCTATGCGATTTTCAAAGCCAAGTAAAAAGTTTAAAAGTGTGCAAAAGGTCAAGTGTTCCAATGTCTTTAATATGAACACGTCTTGGATTACGTCTCTTATCGAGTGCTCGGCATAGTGCTTGAGAAACATGAATTCCAAGTGAGTGATAGACCGCATGATCGGGATTGTCTACACTTATCCAAAGAAAATTCAAATACAAATTTCAAATGCAAAATCAAATAAAAGAGAATTCAAAAGTGAGAAAACCTCAAGCATACAAATACCAAGATTCAAATGCAAGGTTGCACACTTTGGGGGCTTGTTTTGGGTCTTGAGCCTTTATCCCCTCTTCTTCAAACCTTTAGCCAAATCCCATTACAACCCTTAAAAGACCTCCTTGAGGTGTACACACACTTGTGCGAGGTTTGGCTAGAGCCACGTTTGGCCTGATTCCTAACGGATACGTAGACAATCTCACATTGGGGTGCAACCGTAATAAAAATGCATTCAATCATGCGTAATCATATCAAGAATCTCTAATGCTCATCCCTATCCATTTAGAGCTAGACTTGGGGGCTTGATCCTTACTTCATTAGCCTACCCAGCCTAAGAGTCACCATCATTTGATTCTTTTCAAAATATTTTTCCACACCCTTAGCCTTTGCAGCCTAATTTTAGTGTCACTTTCACACACATCACACATACATAGCCAAATAATCCTTCCCTTAGGAACCCTTTGTCATGAAATCTTGATACAACCTTGAAGCATGCCTTGTCAAGATACATAGCCAAATATACTCATTATCATAATCATCATCGAATCACAAAGTATGAAGTACTAAGCCTTCGCGCCTTTACCCAAATACTTTCATTATCAAGTCATCAATAGGGGTAGTCTAGGATGCGACAATCCTTGCACCATGAGATAAAACATCAACGCATACACTTAATTAAGCTCACTCAACATGCTCCATCGCTTGCTTGATTCATCTTGAGGAAGTTCGAAAACTTCTCCCTTTTGATTTTCACCTACATTCTACCTCTTTTCCTTTTCACGTCTTTCTTTTTCGGGAGAAAGTCAGTACCCTCCACAAAAATGACGATTTTTTTTTTCTATTTTGTATTTTTGAGTTGGACGAGCACAATCACAACACAATCATCACATCGAGTTGATTATACACATTGAGTCACATCACATCGAGGTGAGTCATGCACATTGGGTTGTCATCACGTTGAGTTGAGTTTGCACACATCAAGTCATAGCCCATCGAGTCAAGTTGAGTATATTGAGTCACACAATGAGTCAAGAACACTAAGCCTTGGGTCAACCTCAAGAAAGCTATAAATACGAGCAAAGTCATATAGTCCAAAATATAGATGCAGGTACACTAAGTCCCTAACGGACGAGTAACCTTTACAAGAGATTTGAGGCGATTTGATTGACACTACTAGAAAACAGGCCATTTCTGACGGAAAAATTCCGTCGAAATCACCCTGAATTCCGTCGAAAAACCCATTTTCGACGGAATTTTCGTCGGAATCGGTTATCGGAAGCCCTTTTGTAGGAAAAATGACCTTTTTGACGGAATTTCCGTTGGAACATTTTTTCCGACTGAATTTTTTGTCGGAAGAGGTTTTCCGGCACCGAAAAGTCCGTCGGAATTTTTCGACAGAATACAAATCCGCCGAAAAATTCCGACGGAAATTCTGTTGGAAATTGCTGCAAAAAAAAAAAAAAAAAAAAAAAAAAACCAGCACCACCGCTACCATCCCCAACCACCCTAATCCACCTACCCCTTACCCCTATACCGACCCACCACCGTACTTAACCCTCCCTCTTAACCCTAACCCACCCACCACCGTACTTAACCCTCCCCCTTAACCTTTGCCCACCCACCCACCACCACCCTTAGCCACCACCACCGAATCCTAACCCAGATTCACCAACCACCACCGAAACCACCCACACCAGCCCTTATCCCATCTTCACACACCACCACACCAAAAATTAACCCCAAAAAATCGAAAATTAACCCCAAAAAAACATAAATTAGCCCAAAAATACGAAAATTAACACAATAAAATCGAAAAATACCACACAAAAATATCAAAACCAGTAGATCTACAAATTTTGATCGAATTTCATAAAAAAATGTTAAAAAAACGATAATTAAACAACAAAAATTAAAGGAAATATATAAACATACAATTATCTAATCAAATTTATAATTAACATTACAATTACATAAAAAGTTAACTAGATCTACAATCTAACCTAAATTAAAACTAGATCTACAAAACAAAAACCCCTTGAGGGTGGGTGGCGCCGTTGTTGTTGGTGTTGATGTTGGTCAATGGTGGTTGTGGTTGTTGTTGTTGACGGTGGTTGTTGTTGTTGGGTGGCTCGCTACGGTGCTGATGTAGCCGTTGTTGTTGCGCCGTGGTTGTTGCGCCGTGGTTGTTGTTGGGTGGCGCCGGTTTTGATGAGAGAACAGAAAGGGGGAAAGGAAGAAGACGAACAGAGAAAGGGGGAAAAGAAGAGGAACAGACAAAGGGGGAAAGTAAGAAGACGAACAGAGAAAGGGTGATAAGAAGGGGAACAAAGAAGAAGCAGAAGAAAGAGGAAAGAAGAGGAAAGAGAAAGGGAAGAGGAGGAAAGAGACAGAGAAGTGGGAAGAGAAAAAGAAGAGGATCCGGGAAAAAAAAGAGAAAGAGGCGGAAAGAGAAAAAGAAGAGGAGGAAAGAGAAAGAGAAGAGGAAAGAGAAAAAGAAGAGGAGGAAAGAGAAAGAGAAGAGGAAAGAGAAAATGGGGCGGAAAGGGGATTTTTTTTTTTTTTTTTTTTTAATTAAATATTCCAACGGATTTATTTTCCGTCAGAAATTTAGCTTTTTGACGGAATATTCTGTCGAAAATTACAAATATTCCGACAAAATTATATTCCGCCGGAAATTTCTATTTTTCCGACGGAATTACCTGTTCGTCGGAAATAGCCTACTTCCTAGTAGTGTAAGCAAAAAGGCACAAGCAACAACAACAAAGCCGAACGGGCAGAATGAGTTTTTTTAAAAAAAAAAACTCTAACATTGATTCTAGCGCAGCGCGATACACACTAACGCAGCGCGACAACACTATTGCCACGCGATGAAACCTGACATGGCACGTCGGACTTGAATTCTTGCAGATTGATTTGCTGGACGACAATTATCTACTCAAGCCTCGTGATGAACAATTGATTCTTTCCAGAGCAGATGATTATGCATTGAGCCTCTTGATGAGCATTTGAGCCTTTTGAGCATCGTGATGAGCGATCATTGATTTGATTTGATTTGATTAGTAGTCAGCCCGATTACAACTTGATTGATGATCGGCCTGTTGACGATCACATTTTGGTTACATATTGAATGAACACCTTTGAAATCACACTTGTGATTAGTAATTGGCCTAATTACAATTTTAATTGATGATCGGCTTGATGGCGATCATCTTACTGATTAATTGAGTATGCCTAAGCATTGGCAAAGCATATTTGAGAACGCCTAAGCATTGGCTAAGCACATTTGAGTAACACCTAAGCATTGGTTGAGCACATTTCAGTACACGTAAGCATTAGTTGAGTCCGCCTAACCATTGGTGGAGTACATTGATTGAGTAGTGATTGAGCATAATCACAAAGAATTCCTAAGATGGAAGATTTCTACGAAAATCAATTTGAAGCTCGGTACGACCTTGAGAGATGAGGTTTTTTTACGGTAGATTTTCCAAAGATGGAGGTGATACCACTTCTAGGAGTGAAGGCGAGAAGATTTAAACACTACTAGAAAATACCTCATTTACGACGGAAAAAATCCGTCGAAAAAGGCAGTTTCCGACGGAATTCCGTCGGAAACCGTTGTCGGAATTCACTTTGTAGGAATTTTGGCCAATACCGAGGATTTTTCCGTCGGAAATGACCATGCCGACGGATTTTCCAACAGATTTTTATTTTCCGGAGCCTATGTTTGACCTGAATGGGAAGTTCGTCGCAAGCTTCCGACGGACTGTATTCCATCAGAACGTTTCTCAGATTCCGACGGAATATTCCATCGGAACTGTTTATAAGTCCGACAGAATATTCCGTTGGAAGCTAAGCTCGTTCCAACGGATATTTCCGTAGGAAGCAGGCAACGTTCCTACGGAATTTTCCGTCGCAAACTTCCTATGGATATATTTCCGTCGCAACCTACCGACGGAAAAGTCCGTCGGAAACTTATACCCATTGCGACAGATTTTAAATCCGTAGGAACTTTGCGACGGAAATAACGACGGAACTTTTTCGAGTTTGACTTTTCCTACGGCACATTGCTACCCTTTGATACATGCACTTCTTGCTTCTTATATTAACGACAAAACAAAATTAATGGTTTTTGTGCAAATATATATATATATATATATATATATATATATATATATATATATATATATATATATATATATACTAATTCTAATCTGTAAAGCCAAGTAATGTAATCTAAAATTAGTACTAATAAACACTACGTTAATTACAGCTAAGCAACTGCGGGAGTGCATGCTCCACCACTACCCGGGTCGTCGTCCCTGGGATCTCGAAATGGAGGTCGCACGGTGGAACAAGGGTCGTTGTGGTAACGACTCATCATCCTCTCTTCCAACCTCTTCTCCATTTCTTCCATTTGGGCTCTTACTGAGACTTGAACTCGGGCTTGCATCTCGAGTTCTATTTCTTCCCGAAGAGCCTACACCTTTATTTCCACCTGATCTTGCATCTGAGAAACAAGGGAGGGCGTGTACTACATGGAAGATGTGGAAAGTCGACCCATCTGACTGCCATAGTAAAGGTCAGCACTTCCGCCAAGTCCCTTCACACGTCCTTTTTTGTTCTGACCACCCACTGTCTCCTAGTACAGCTCATTCGGACTCTTCTGAGTCCTTTGAGTGCTAGCCTCCTCAACCCTCTTTCGGTAGGCCTCCTACAAGATAAACATATGAAAAGGAACAAACGAGTTAGTTAGTTATATAAATAAGTTTTGGGTACCATATTCATGAAAAAATAAACCAAGTAACATGACATAGGTGACTTCTACTTAGCCCAATTACTTCTTTTCTTAGGAAATGAGCTCTTTTTTTCTCATTCAATATCAATTAAACATAGTTTTAGGTCTAAAGTCCTTGAATTGACAAAAAAAAACAAAGTAACAAAGTTTTACATACAATATTCATGAAAAACGCACCGAGTATGGCCTAAGTGACTTCTATGTTGCCCATTTTCTTTATTTCTTAGTTAATGTTCTCATTTCTCATCCAAACATGTCAAACGTACATAGTTTTAGGTGTCTAGGGATTGAAATGACAAAAAAACAACACTTTAAGTTTTGGGACGCATTTGGAGCGAAAATGAACCAACTATGGCCTATATGACCTATTCTGTGCCCATTTTCTTCATTTTCGACCAAATGAACTATTTCTTTCTCTAAACATGTAAATTATGGTTATTCTAAGGAGTAAATGCCTTGAAATGAAAAAAAAAAAAACAAACAAGTCCCTAAGGTTCGGGACGCATTTGGAGCGAAAAAGAACCAACTATGGCCTATATGACCTATTCTTTTCCCATTTTCTTCATTTTCGACCAAATGAACTATTTCTTTCTCTAAATATGTCAATTATGGTTATTCTAAGGATTAAATGCCTTGAAATGCCAAAAAAAACAACACATTAAGTTTTGGGACGCATTTGGAGCGAAAATGAACCAACTAAGGCCTATTGACCTATTCTTTGCCCATTTTCTTCATTTTTGACCAAATGAACTATTTCTTTCCCTAAACATGTCAATTATGATTATTATAAGGATTTAATGCCTTGAAATCACAAAAAAAACAACACATTAAGTTTTGGGACGCATTTGGAGCGAAAATGAACCAACTATGGCCTATATGACCTATTCTTTGCCCATTTTCTTCATTTTCAACCAAATGAACTATTTCTTTCTCTAAACATGTCAATTATTGTTATTTTAAGGAGTAAATGCCTTGAAATGCCAAAAAAAACAAGTCCCTAAGTTTTGAGACGCATTTGGAGCGAAAATGAACCAACTATGGTCTATATGACCTATTCTTTTCCCATTTTCTTCATTTTCGACCAAATGAACTATTTCTTTCTCTAAAAATGTCAATTATGGTTATTATAAGGATTACATGCCTTGAAATGTCAAAAAAAACAACACATTAAGTTTTGGGACGCATTTGGAGCGAAAATGAACCAACTATGGCCTATATGACCTATTCTTTGCCCATTTTCTTCATTTTCGACCAAATGAACTATTTATTTCTCTAAAAATTTCAATTATGGTTATTATAAGGAGTAAATTCCTTTAAATTCCAAAAAAAAAACAACGCATTAAGTTTTGGGACGCATTTGGAGCGAAAATGAACCAACTATGGCCTATATGACCTATTCTTTGCCCATTTTCTTCATTTTCGACCAAATAAACTATTTATTTCTCTAAAAATGTCAATTATGGTTATTCTAAGGAGTACATGCCTTGAAATGCCAAAAAAAACAAGTCCCTAAGGTTTGAGACGCATTTGGAGCGAAAATGAACCAACTTTGGCCTATATGACCTATTCTTTTCCCATTTTCTTCATTTTCGACCAAATGAACTATTTATTTCTCTAAACATGTCAATTATGGTTATTCTAAGGAGTACATGCCTTGAATTGCCAAAAAAAAACAACACATTAAGTTTTGGGACGCATTTGGAGCGAAAATGAACCAACTATGGCCTATATGACCTATTCTTTGCCCATTTTCTTCATTTTCGACCAAATGAACTATTTTTTTCTCTAAACATGTCAATTATGGTTATTCTAAGGAGTACATGCCTTGAAATCACAAAAAAAAAAACAAGTCCCTAAGGTTTCAGTACCATATTCATGAAAAATGAACCAATGAACTAAGTTTAGGGAATTTGTTACCGCAATTTCCTAAGCTGTGGGGTTTACTGCCACTGTGGCTTTCCCAGGCAACTCCTTGAAGTGTGTCTTCAGAAACAGCTCAGGAGCTGTTGGCAGCTGGCCCTTGTTCTTCGCCGCCTTTGATACAAAAAAATAGGAATAAACGTTAAACAAGTCACACCCTTGTTACATTGAAATACACAAAAATGCCTTCTAATATAAGATCTTTTTAAATAAACTTACCATCCTTTTTGCATGTTGGGTCGCTGACAATGAACCCTGAAAGTGGGTCCCTCAGACGGGATTTTCCATAGAACCGCCCCTTCTGTTCTTGTTTTGCGCCGACCTCTCCTTGTAAGTTGGATCCGATGCAACAATGTTCATCATCTCCTTGTGGATCTCCTCACTCAGCCAACTTGGCTTGGCGCCATTCATCTTTTGCGTGATGGTGTGGAACATGTCAGGCGTGTTGCTACCCTCCTCCGAAATGTGAGCTTCACTAGCTCGTTCATCTGGGGTGCCCATCTGAATTGTGCCTGCAAATGATAAAATACAGAAGTTATACACAAAACTAAATCAATACAATATCTAAAACATGTATTAACCAAGACCCAAAAATATCATACGCTGAACAATTTCCACCAGTGTTCCTTCGTAGCTGCAGGAACTTCTCCAAAGTTCCTCCAAGGGCCTCGGTAGTATCCAGTAATCGTACCGGATACCGCACTCCGAACCTTAGGATCATCAAACCTATAACAAACGGGAAACAACAATGTTAAACAAGTTCGAAAATAGTAATATAAGCCTTGTATCTTATCATCCATATCATGATATGTACGTACCACAACATAGTATGGTCCAAACACGGGAGCTGTGACTCATCTTGTGACTCGTCCTGTGACTCATCCCGTGGCCCATCTTCTGGAGGAGTGGATGTGGGCGTCTAATCCTCACCCAAATCGGCTGCCTTCGAACATCTCCTCATCCTGGCCGTCGTTGAAAAGGGCGCGGGCGGTCATTTTCTCTTTCCCCTTTACTTTCTTCGACGATTGCCCACTTTTTCCACCCGCCATGACTACCTGAATCAGATGTTAGTAAAATGACAAGATATTATAAATAACAAGTGCAGTGCAACGTAATATGGCTTTTATACAAACACTAAAAAGTTTTACATAAGCCTAATTAATATTTTGATTTTACAATAAGAAGCATACTTTTAAACGAGATTAACATATTCTCCTACTCAGTACTCTCATCACTACTTTCACTACTATCATCTAATACTACATCGATGTCATCATCATCGTCACTATCACTAGAGCCGATACTAGATTCATCGTCTTCATCGCTTGAGATCACAAAGCCATCGTCATCGTCTTCATCTTCATCATCCCTGCCGTAGTCCGGAATGTCATTCAGTGGGCAAAGTGTTGCATGTACTGTTGGGGATGGTGATTGTAGAAACTCTAAGTCCACCGGAGCATCAACCACTGACCGTGCTTGTGTTTTAAACACAAACCACCATTGAACATGGTCCTGTTTCAGGCTAGGGTATGATGCGTAGTACACTTGAGCCACTTGGTAAGATAAGACAAATGGATCATATTTGGGGTATTTCTTAGTATGATTTACTTCGATTAGCCTATATTGTTCGTGTATGTTCATTCCCCTACCACAATCCATCCAATTGCACTTAAACAAAATTGTCTTGTACTGTCTCTTGGGTCCCGTGTAGACAAGTTCAATTATGTTGTCTAAAATGCCGAAGTAATCTCCGCCATCCTCACTTGATACACACACCATAATTCATGGTGAATTTATGCTTGCCATGGGCATGTGTATGGAAATTAAATCCACCTATAAAAATCTCGCCCCAAGTACGAACTCGCCTGAAGGGACGCATGCACAACGCTCGCAGGACATCCGAATTTGGCTTCTCTTCGACCACCTATAAAGTGGTTGAATATCAATATCACGGTTCCTGAATTCAATGAATTGAAATGCAAGATGTAAAATACAGAATTATTTCACGGTTACACCGCGTATATCACCTTGTGATATGAAACCAATTAGAAAATTCAGCTTCGAATTTCTCCATGACTTCTTCTCTACGCAAGAAAGGTCGAGTACTAAGAATGTAGTCCTCAAACTTCCTACGAGGCCAAACACACAATGTAAATCTACAAAGTCATCATTGTAAATGATCATAAATACGAATACGCTGAATACCTAGGCCTAATATACCTTTCGTATTCGCCAAGAATGCCGGTGTTTCATAACACGAACAAATGTGCACACTCGAGTTCTTTGTCATCTAAGAACCGAGTTCTACCCTCATTTGACACACGACCACTGTCCTCTTTGAACAACTCTGGTATATCAGCGACGTCCAATGTGGACTAAACGTCGGCATTCACATTTCGACCAAGATCTCGAGTTTTAGTGTCAATTGTCGACTGAAAGTAATTGGAGCAGAAGTTTGCTATCTCTTCAGTGAGATAAGCATTGCATATGGACCCTTCAACTCGAGCCTTGTTCCCAATTTTTCGTTTCAAATGATTGAGGAACCTGCAATTACAGTTGTTATGTAACTGTATGAACAAGTGATTAGGATGTAAAACAAAGGATGTGAAACAAGGGTATTTGATTTACCTTTCGAAGGGATACATCCATTTGTATTGTACAGAACCACATAACTTCCCCTCGTACGACAAATGTATTGGCAAATTCTCCATGGAGTTAAAGAATGCAGGAGGGAAGATCTTCTAAAGCTTGCAGAGGATCTCGAGTATGTTTTTCTCCAATCGCTCCATGTCACTAACTGATGTTGTATAGCAACACAAGTCGCGGAAGAATTGGCTGATCTCTGTAATTGCATTCTAAATATGGCTAGAAGCAATTCCCTCAAAACTGTGGGCAACATCCTCTCCATGTACACGTGACAGTCATGGCTTTTCATTCCATGGAGCTTACACGCTTGCAAATCTACGCATCTGCTCAAATTGGAGGCGTAACCATAAGGGAACCGCAACTACTTAACCCACTCACACAAAACTTTTCTCTGAGCCTTGTCAAGAGAGAATGGAGCCTTTGGCATGACCTCTTTTCCTCTATCATCCTCTTGAAGATGAAATAATCATGTCATTCCGAGCAGATGGCGTGTCACACGTATGCTTTTTCACATCCATTACAGTGTGAATTAACTGATCGAAGAAGTTCTTCTCAATGTGCATGACATCTAATTTGTGACGAATGAGGAGATGCTTCCAATGTGGGAGCTCCCACAAGGTGCTTTTCTTGAACCACCCCTTCTTTTCATTTTTCAGCCTCTTAATTGAATCGGGTCCATCTGTAGCCTTCGGGAGGTCCTGCACACATTTCCACAGCTCTTCTCCTGACATGATGTGTGGAGGGGCACCTTTCTGTACTTTGTTTTTACAGAATGCAGTTTTACTGTTCCGAAAAGGGTGATCTGTCGGAAGGAATTGTCGGTGGCAATCAAACCAAGTAACTTTACCACCATGTTCGAGCCAAAATGCTTTGCTCTTCTCCATGCAATGTAGACAAGCTTTCTTACCAGTTGTGGCCCAACCAGACAACATGCCATAAGCCGGGAAGTCACTAACGATCCATAGGATGCTTGCTCGAAGATTGAAATTTTGTTTCTTCGAAATATCATAAGTTGCCGCGCCAACTTCCCACAACAGTTTCAACTCCTTTATCAACGGTTGCATGTAAAGATCCAAGTTGCCCTTAGGGTTTTTAGGACCGGGAACGAGTAACGAAAGGAACATGAATTGTCTTTTCATGCACATTGAGGGAGGCAAGTTATAAGGGGTCAAAATGACAGGCCAACAAGAATATTGTCCCCCAAACTTACCATGAGGAGCAAAACCATCTGTACACAAGCCAAGTCTCACATTACGAGGCTCGAGAGTAAATTCTGGAAACCGACAATCGAGGTGTTTCCAAGCTACATTGTCACTAGGGTGTGCCATTGTGCCTTGAACTCGGGGATTTTTCGAATGCCATGTCATTTCCTCCGAAATGTTCTTCGTTGCAAACAGTCTTTGCAACCTGGGTGTGATCGGGAAATAAAACAAAACATTCAAAGGCACTAGGCTACCTTTGGAAGTCTGCTTGTATCGGTCGCTGCCATACACCCTGCATGCAGACAACTGAGCATCATCCTTCCAAAACAACATACACCCTTTCGGGCATGCATAAATCTTTTGATGGGACAATTCCAACCCCTTCACAATCTTCTTCACCTCGTAGAAAGTGTCAGCCATATGGCTGTTGTTCGGAATCGCCTCACTTAACAAAGAAGCAAACCCATCGACACATCTGTGAGGCAAATTATACTCACATTTTAGACTAGTGATTCTAGCGGCCATCTCTAACACAGAAAAAGAACTCCCTTCGTATAATGGCCTTTCAGAAGCCTTCAACAAATCCAGAAAATGCTTAGCAGTTGCATTAGGCTCTTCCTCTGATGAAACACTAGCCTCCTCGGAGTGCCCCTGATCTTGACTATGACCAAAAGCATCCAAAACCATGTCACGATATTCATTGGACCGCCGTTCGGGAACTCCCGGATACCCTTTCCCGTGACACATCCACTCATAGTAGTTAGGTGTGAAACCCTTGCGATACAGATGAATTTTAACCGTATCCGCATCCCAAAAGCGTTTGTTCTTACATTTTACACATGGACACCTAACTTCATTCGGGTTGATCTGTGACGTACTGAATGAATTCATCAACCCCTTTCACGAACTCTGGATTAATACTTTGCCCAACCATCCTTTCATACATCCACCTACGTTGTCTTCGTTTCATGATTACAGCTTCTACACAGCTCACGTATATGTACAATCACATTAGTCATAAACCGTATTTCGCAGTCATTATCCACCAAAGCATTATGGAAATGCAAATGAGATTTGAAATGCTTCCAAAGAGTCCTTATTACTCCAACCTAACCCATCCTTGTACGTTTATTCTCACTAGCGAATGTAACCTAGGTTTTCAATTCTATGGAAAATCCGCAAGCATTTCCCTACAGTTCTCCAAGTACACGATGTAGGCGATTAAACACACCTACATATGTACCCAGAGAACACGGTAGAGAAATGCATGAAAAGGCAGGATTTTCCCTATAATAAAATACAAGGCTTACATTCACCACCTAAGTGAGAATAAGCGTACAAGGACAGTCCCAACCGGGGACTATTCAAGACATACTCCTAATGTGTATGCCTTGAACGGGTATATAGGCATATGATTATGCAAATGATTCATTTATTATATATATATATATATATATAAAGTGAAGGACACATGCATTTTACTAAACAGAGATATATCATAATTAAACTAAACTAAGCAAATAAATAAGAACGCTTATTAAATATTATATTAAACGTTATATCAAACAAAAATATTAAACTAAATACACTAGCATACACTTTATTAAATAAAACTAAACCAAGTTTAACTAAACTAAACTAAATTAAAAAAAACTAAACTAAATTAAACTAAAATAGACTAAACTAACATATTAAATTACCCTAAACTAAACAAAACTAAACTAACATGTTATAATACAATAATTAAAAACTAAACTTAAATAAACTAAACTAATCTAACATATCATAACACAAACACATTCATTTCAAATATTTCAACAAATTAAAATATAAATACAACAAATTGTAAATACAATAACTAAAAACAATAATAAACTAACATATATCTACACATCATTAGGATCTAACTGCCAAGTATAAACTAAATTTATAAATTTAGCTTTAAAATACTCTCTAACCTGTAGATCTGTAGATGTTATTGCCAAAGAACCAATTCAATCTACAAATCATAAAAATATTCAAATTACAAACAAAAAATAAACAAAAAAAAAAGTTTAAACTATATTTATAATTTTAGCTTTTAAGTTTATGCTTGCATTTTGTATAAAAAAATGAATAATCATAGATGTGAACTTTAATTAAAAAATAAACAAAAAAAAAGAAAGAAAAAAAAGGAAAACTGGACATTACCTGCTGGCAGCGGCTGGTGGGCGGTGTGGTTGTGGACCGGCCGGAGAGTGAGGCTTTGGGGTTGGTGGTTGTTAGGGTTTTCCGGTAAGCCCTAGGTGACATGGAGGTTAGGGTTTTCCGGAAAAAAAATAAAAAAAAATAAAACCACAACTTACCGGCGGCGGTGCAACAGCGAAGGGGCGGTTCGGCGTCTGCGTGGCCCTCTCTCTCTTCCTCTTTCTCCTTCTCCCTTTCTCTCTCTTCCTCTTCCTCTTCCTCTGTCTCGCTCTCCGTTTCTCTGTCTGCATTTTTGTGTTTCTGTTCTGTTCTGTAAAACGCGTGTTTTTTTTAATGTTCTAAGCTTCTGACGGAAATTATTCCCTCGAAAAACTCAGTTTCCAACAGAATTTTCCGTCGGAACCTGAATTTTCCGAGGGAATAATTTCCGTCGGAAGCGTTTCCGAGGGAATATTATGTCGGAACCAGAATATTCCGAGGGAAATAAAATCTGTCGGAACGTTACCGAGGGAATTTTCCGTCGGTATGCAACTATTCCGACGGATTTTTCCTACAACTACAATTTCCGCCTGAATTTTTGAATTTTCCTGGGAATTATATTCCGTCGGAACATTTCCCTTGGAAATAAGCCTATTTCTAGTAGTGAAAGATGGCTAAGCATTGCGATCTTCACAACATTCCCTAAGATGTGGAGGTTGTCTTTCTTTGACTTGAAGATGGCTAAGCATTGAGATCTTCGAAAACATTCCCTAAGATGTGGAGGTTGTCTTTCTTTGACTTGAAGATGGCTAAGCACTGCAATCTTCGACAACATTCCCTAAGATGTGGAGGTTGTCACTTTGATTTGAAGATGGTTAAGCACAACGATCTTCGATGACATTCCCTAAAATGTGGAGGTTGTCACTTGAATTTGAAGATGGCAAAGCATTGCGATCTTCGATGGCGCTCCCTAAGATGTGGAATTTGCCACGCAAAGAAAATTTGATTCAGCAAATTGATGTCGCGCTAAGACGTGTACCCGATGGTGCAAGATACACGTTTCTTACCTCCTTTATTTGTAGAATTAATGCTTTTTGCAGGTATCGGCGTTAAAAAGAATGATTTAGGATCCCAGAACATTCTGAATCATTCTCCGTCCCTATCAATCTACTTTGACTTTTGTTTTCGAAACTTACGATTCTCAAACTCAATCAAAATGGGGGCTTCTGTAGACACCTGATTGTGTCTCCCCAAAAATCAAACCCGGTGATGAATATCTTTCACGTCTTTGATTATCGAGTTAGTTGAAAATTTGAAGAGTCTCGTGAAATTCCCTTAAGCCTTGACCATTTCTAACCTTTCCTTAAATGTTTTAAACCAAAATCATTTATTTTGTGTCCTCTTTATAAAACGTCCAAACCATTCTATTTTGGTCCATGATTCTGGTCTAATTATTATGTAGTTGGATGAGGATTGAAAAGAGCTTTCCAACGATATATTATAAGCCCAAATCCGACTTATAACGAAGAAGTTATGGCCAAAATACTAAATCGAGCCCAACCAAAGCCTTACCTACGAGCCAATGATTATGTGGAGGGTCCATTAACCTTAACCTCATTCCTAAACCAATTATGATTTATTACAAGCTTCTAGAATCATCTAGAAGGTTATTTTCGATCCTAAATCTATTAGGATTTATTGTGAGCTTCTAGAATCCTCTAGAAGGTTCTAATTTATCATGTTTACATCGAATAAAACATCTGTTTTTCAATGATCCTAATCCAGGTCAAAATAGAATACGTACGGAAATTTTGTCAATCTGTCGTGCCGCGATGAGAAGCGTTTTACTCCGAGTCGGATTCTGATTCTTTTCGGATCCTTCGACCCTCTTTTTTCTTTATAAATATCGGTCGTTTTACCCCGTTTTCAATCACCAAAAATCATCATCTAATACCCTCTCTAATACTTTCTCTCTCTCTTGATTCTTTTCTAATCCTTAGCCTAAATACGTCCTAACACACATTCTTGATACTTTTCCCAAGCAAACACCATACTTTTCTCACGAGCTTTGAATACTCCTAGCTAATCTCGAAGTTGTCTTCGACCTCGACGTGAAACACTATTAGAAAATAGCTAATCAACGACGGAAATAATCCCTCGGAATAGCCTGAAATTCCGTCGGAAATGTCAATTTCTGACGGAATTCCGTCGGAACGCACCGTCATATTACATTTTGTAGGAATTTTGCTATATTCCAAGGTCCATTTCGACGGATTTTCCGACGGAATTATTGTTGTCGGAGTCAGGATTGACTTAAATAGGAAATCCGTCGCAACATTCCACAGACTGAATTCTGTCATTGTTACACCCTTCCGACGGAATATTCCGTCGGAAACAACTATGTTTCCGACGGAATTTCCGTCGGAAAATTTAATAAAAAAAATAAAAATAAAACAGCCCCACCCCTAACCCACTACCCACAACCCAAACCCACCAGTACGTACTACTGCTCACCACCCCAACCCACCCCACCGCCACCACCTAACCAACCACCCCCACCCATCAGAACGTACCACCGTAACCCCGGCCACCCCCTAACCCACCCCACCATCGTAACCAAACACCCCACCCCACCCCACCACCGTAACCCCATTAGCCACCCCTTAACCCACCAGATTCCCCACCTAACCCAAACCCACCCAATCCAGATCTATCACCCATCATAAGCACCCACAACCCCCACCCAACCACGTCCAACCACTTTTCCCACACCACCCACCACGTCAAACCCTTACCCTTATCCCATTCACCACCAAACGAACCCACAAATGTGAAAATATCCAAAAAAAACATCGAAAAAACAACCCACAAATATCTAGAAAATCCGAAAAACAAAGAATTTAGCAAAAAAAAAATCCGAAAAAACAACCAACAATTTAAAATAATAAAAAAAAAGATGCATACCTTGATTCCACCGCACAAAACCTCAAAATTGGGTTTACAAGGCCAAATTCGACCATGAAAACCCTAGATCTAGGGTTTTTATGGTCGAATTTGACCCGAAAACCTTCGTTTTAACCATCAAAAAACGTTTCATTGTCGAAGTTGTTGTTGACGGTTACAGTTGATGTAATTCATTGTTGTTAACGGTGCGAGAGAGTGAAAGAGAAGAAGAGCAGCGAGACAGAGAAGAGAGGAAAGAAGGAGAAGAAAATAGAGGAAAGATGGAGAAGAAAGAGGCGGACAAAGAAGAGAGGAAAGAAGGAGAAGAAAACTGAGGAAGAAGGAGAAGAAAATAGGCGACCAGCAGAAGAGAGAAAGAGAAGAGAGGAGAGAGAAAGAGAAAGAGAGAAAATAAGAGGCGCAGGAGAGAGAAAGAGAAGAGAAGAGAGGAAAAAAAAGAAAAGGGCGGAAGAGAAAAGGGTTAGAGTTAGGGTTTGGTTTTTTTTTTTTTTGTTTTTTTTTTCTGACGGATTTTTTCCCTCGCAATTTACAGCTTCCAACGGAATATTCTATCAGAATCTGTAAATTTCGAGGGGAAAAAAATCCGTCGGAATATTTCCGAGGGATTTTCCGTCGTAACTTACCTTTTTCGACGGAATTTTCTGACAGATCCAAATTCTGTCGAAAATTTTGAAATTTCCAACGAATTTAAGTATGTCGGAATCCGACCTATTTCTTGTAGTGAAAGGTTGATAATTCTGAGGGTTTGGTCCCAAATCTATATTTTAATTCTTATTTGATTTAATCTTTCTTGAAGTTTACTAACGTGTGTATTTTTTTGATAGAAAGAGATTCGAGGCACCAAAGTAAGTAATTCGATTACTTAATTATTCTTTTGATATAGAAATCATGCTTAAGATCTTGTGTTAATTCCTAGTATCATGTTAGGATATTTTTATGATTCTTAGTATCATGTTAGGATGCTTTTATGATTTCTAGTATCATGTTTAGGCCAAAACTTTGATCTTTGTTAGTGACATGCTAGATAGGATTCGTTATCAATCTGTTTAGTATCATGCCTAGAATCTTACTAATATAATATTTTGTTGATGATTTTGATTAGGATGATGATTGTTATGTCAATTATTACATTGCTTGATTATTCATGATTGATTGTTATTACTTGATCACACCCATTCTTGCAAGTTTTAAAGGAATTGTACTTGAAATCACGCCTAATAAGATAATTTGAATTTAGGCTAATATGATTTTAATTCAAGTGATCACCAATACTAGATTTGATTGTGCATTAATAATCAACCAACGTAGATTAAATATGCTTATGATTAATTTATATTGTATGTATGTTGATCAAAAAGCGCACATGACACTACAAGAAAACAACTTGATTCCGACGGAAAAAATCCGTCGATAACATCGGAAATTTCGTCAGAAAATGGTCTTCCGACGGAATTTCCGACGGATCTACGTCTGTCGGTGCCTTTTTTGACTTTAATTGAAATTCTGTCGCAATTTTCCGTAGGAAATTTCCGTAGGAAGAGGTGTATTCCGAAGGAAATTTACATCGGAAAAGTCAATAAAAAAAAAAACTTGCCCCACCCCTAACCCTTACCCCACCCAGATCCACCACTTCCCACACCCCTGCTCACCACCCCAACCCACCCCACTGCCACCCCCTAACCCACCACCCCCACCCACCAGAACGTACCATCGTAACCCCATTAGCCACCCCCTAACCCACCACGACCAGCACTGAACCCTAACCCACCACCAGCTTCTCCACCCAACCCAAACCCACCCAATCCAGATCTACCACCCAACCCAAACCCACTCAATCCAGATCTACCACCCAAACCACCCCACCACCCACCTAAAACCACCGCCGCAGCCGCCGAAACAAATCCACCCACCCACCACCACCCCACCCCACTTAACACCGTACCCACCCTCCACCACCCCACCTCACCTAACACCGTACCCACCCTCCACCACGTAAAAAAAAAAATTAAAACACAAAAATAAATCCGAAAAATGAGAAATAAAAAAAAAAGAAAAAAAAACTAAACAACCACTGACACACTACCATCATCCACAATTAAAAAAAAATCCGAAAGAGTAAGAAACAAAAACAGAAAAAAAATCTAAATAATTTTTTTTTGCAAACTAGATCTAAAAAAAATCAAACCAAATTAATAGACTGAAAATGAAGACATACCTTCAATTCCACCGAAAAAACGTCGAATTTGGGCTTTAAAGGTCAAATTCGACCATGAAAACTCTAGATCTAGAGTTTTCATGGTTGAATTTGATCATAAACACCATAATTATTCGCTTTTTGACGAAAATCAAAAAACCCATAGTAATTTGTTGTCGAAAATCGAGGGAAAAAAACCAAGAAGAAACAGAGAACGAAAATGAAGAGGAAAGAGAATAAGGAGAAAGGAAAGAGAAAAGAAAGAAAAGAAGGAGAAAGGTGATGGATAAAGGAAAGAGAAACGGAAAAGAAGAAGGAGGAGAGAGGAGAGAGAAGGAAAAGAGAGGCGAAGAGAAGAGGAGAGGAGAGAGAAATGAGAAATAAAAGGGGGGGGGGGGAATCCGGGTTTTTTAGGAGATTTAAGGGTTTGTTTTTTTTTTATTTAATTATATTCCGACGGAATATTCCGTTGGAAATTTTCGACGGATTTTATTTCAGTCGGAAGTTAATATTCCGACGGATTTTATTTCAGTCGGAAATTTAATGTTCCGACGGAATATTCCGTCGGAAAGCCCATAAATTCTGACATATTTTTATTCCGTAAGAAATCCGTCGGAAATTTCCGACAGAATATAAATCCATCGGAATACATAGGATTTCCGACGGAAATTCATGTCCGTCGGAAGATGTCCGTCAGAAATAGGCCTATTTCTTGTAGTGTGAATATCATAAGAATTAAGTAGAGGCCGATTTAGAACTGGTTCAATCTCTTTTAGGTTGGATTCGCGCCATCATCCTCGAATATCCTGTCATGGTTCCGGACCACTATGAAGTTAGTGATCTCCGTGATCGTGAATGGGGTGTAACCTTCACACCCGTGAACAGTTTACAAGTTCCTAAAACTTGTTGGCGACTGTTTTATCTCTAGCTTCCTTCCCTTTGGACGCCACCATGCTTAA